GTCAAGAAAAGAAACATTGTAATTCAGGTATTATAGGAGTTTAAAGTTTATGATTTAAGTAACCTGCTTTGGAGTTGGTCATAAACTAGTGCGACAAAACCACCATCAGAAAAAGTTGACACTCGGAGCCGTGTTAATATTTGTAGATTTTTTTTGTCCACAAAAGGGTATTTATTACTTTTGTGATTTAACTGGGTGAACAGGGATGGATGTACCATTAGGCACTGCAGGCCTGTAGACTGATCCATCCTGCAGGGATCGACAGCTTGCAACCTATATGGGGTTAACTGATCTCTTCATGAGCATCACGGAAAGAAAAGTTTTAAAGCAAGCCGACGATCCCCGCAAGATGGATTGGATCTGCGGATTGGAGAGCATAATGGATCGGACTCCGATCCATCAGGGGCGGACTGACCATTTGGAAACTCGGGCACTGCCCGAGGGTCCGGGGTCAGTAGGGGGCCCCATGAGATGCCCCTCGTACCTTTTTCATAGGCTTTTTTGAGTGTGGGCAAGGACACAGGGGTCCCATGATCCCCTATTGCCTGGGGGCCCCATGAGTTGTCAGTCCGACCCTGCGATCCATTATGCTCAATCTGCGGATCCGATCCATGGGTTGGAAAAGGTGAAGGTAGCAAGTTGTCTTCTGTGCCTCAGTACACCTAGAATAAATAACTAGAAGAGAAGTCTACCAGAGATTTACCTCTAGGTGTACAGACACAAAGAGGGTGCACTGCAGGCATGGTACACAACCCCACCAACAAAAAGACCCAGACTGCTCAGGTAAACCAACAATCACTGAACTGGAAGGCCTGCTTAAAAATGCTAGTTTCCTGGTATTTATACTGACCCATGTATTTCAATACTTTTGAGTCACTAATCTGGGATAAATCACAGATCAAGAAAGTTGGGGAAGGCAATAGTTCCTAAAGCTGAACTCCAACCTTGCCTTCAATCTTGCACAGTTGTGCAGGCATCTCTATTGTACTGACCAATAAGCCAGAGGTCATGACAATACTTTACAAGGTCTAGCTGTATCCTGGGTACTCTTACTCCATTATTGATGAATTCAAATAACTAAGGCCATGAGTAACATACCAGACCGTGAATTTGCAGCTTGCGAGTTCCCAGGTCTGCAAACTGATCTGCCCATTGTGAGCAGCTTTCACCATCCCTGCTGGATTATTAACCTATTTTGTATTATGGAGATTTATCAGGAGGAACCTGGGAACACAGAAGTAGGTGGAGACATCAAAACATCCAGGTGGTCAAGAACAGATTCAGGTATTATGACAATTAGATCTTCTAAGACATAAAAAGAAGGGCCAGCACCAGGGGTGGACTGACAGAGCATGGGCCCCTGGGCAATAGGAGATCATGGGGCCCCTGTGTCCTTGCCCAAATTCAAAAAAGCCTATGAAAAAGGTACCAGGGGCATCTTATGGGGCCCCCTACTGACCCCGGGCCCTCGAGCAGTGCCCGAGTTTCCAAATGGTCAGTCCGCCCCTGGCCAGCATACCAGGTCCCACCTGCTGTGTAACTGGAGTATCATTATGGGTGAATGGACTGTAGAATGAAATTCCACCAAATGTAAGAAAAAAGCCTTTATACTATATGAATAGGGATGTTGGCAACTACACCCTGAGCTACACTGAATTATTTTTTTTTGTGTAGAATGATTTATTTTAGCTGTGGTCCCTGTGGTATGTAAGAATTCATTTATTACCCACATGGAAGAAAAACATATTTGAAATATATTTTTAAAATATGCTTCCCAAATATATTGACATATATTTGAAATGCTATAATTTTGTCCATATTCAATATATCTCAAAAAAAAAAAAAAAAAAAAAAAAAAAAATATATATATATATATATATATATATATATATATATACTGTATGTTGAAATGCATTTTTACTACAAAATATATGAAAAATATTTTTAAAAATACATTTCAAATATACTGTATGTCTTTAAAAGTACAAATCTACATTTTTGGAATGCATTTACAGATATATGTAAAACTATATGTTAAAATGACATTTTTATATGTTAACAAAAATCTGAAGAATATATTTTCAAAAAATATATATTTTTTTAAAAATATTTTTCAGATTTTTTTTTTTAAGCTCTAGAAAAGTCATTTTAACATACCGGTATATTTTTTCATATATTTGTAAATGCATTCCAAAAATGTAGATTTGTATTTTTAAAGACATACATTATATTTGAAACATATTTTTAAAACTACTTTTCATATATTTTGTAATAAAAACACATTTCAATATATATATATATATATATATATATACAGTTGCAAGAAAAAGTATGTGAACCCCTTGGGATTACGTGGAGTTTTGCATGAATTGGGCATAAAATGTACTCTGAACGTCATCTAAGTCACAACAATAGAAGAACACAGTCTGCTGAACATAATACTACACAAACATTAGATGTTGCCATGGTTTAATTGCACATAACATGTAAACATTCACAGTGCAGGGAGGAAAAAGTATGTGAGGCCCTAGCTTAATGACTTCTCCCAAAGCTAATTGGAGCCAGGAGTGAGCCAACCTTGACTCCAATCAGTGTGATGATATTGGATGTGTTGCTGACAGCTGTCCTGCCCTTAAAAAACACACACCTGTTTTGGGTTTACTAGTTTCAAGAAGCACTGTCTGATGTGAACCTTGCCTCGCAGAAAAGAGCTCTCAGAAGACCTACGATCAAGAATTGTTGACTTGCATGAAGCTGGAAAGGGTTACAAAAGTATCTCCAAAAGCCTTGATGTTCATGTGTCCACGGTAAGACAGACTGTCTACAAACGGAGAAAGTTTAGCACTGTTGCTACTCTCCCTAGGCGCGGTCGTCCTGTAAAAATGACTGCAAGAGCACAGCGCAGAATGCTGCATGAGGTAAAGAAGAATCCTCGAGTGTCAGCTAAAGACCTACAGAAATCTCTGGCACATGCTAACATTTTTGTTGACACATCTACAATAAGGAAAACATTAAACAAGAATGGAGTACATGGGAGGACACCATGGAGGAAGCCATTGCTGTCCAAAAAGAATATTGCAGCACGTTTAAAGTTTGCAAAAGAGCACCTGGATGTTCCACAGCACTACTGGCAAAATATACTGTGGACAGATGAAACCAAGATTGAGTTGTTTGGGAAGAACACACAACACTATGTGTGGAGAAAAAAAGGCACAGCACACCAACATCAAAACCTCATCCCCACTGTAAAACATGGCGGAGGGAGCATCATGGTTTGGGGCTGCTTTGCTGCCTCAGGGCCTGGACGGATTGTTGTCATTGATGGAAAATGAATTCCAGAGTTTAGCAAGACATTTTGCAGGAAAACGTACGACCATCTGTCCGCCAACTGAAGCTCCGCAGAGGATGGGTGATGCAACAGGACAATGACCCAAAGCATACAAGTCATTCAACAAAACAATGGCTGCAACAGCACAGAATACGCCTTCTGGAGTGGCCCAGTCAGAGTCCTGACCTCAACCCGAGTGAAATGCTGTGGCATGACCTTAAGAGAGCAATTCACACCAGACATCCCAAGAATATTGCTACACTGAAACAGTTTTGTGAAGAGGAGTGGTCCAAAAATTACTCCAGATCGTTGTGCAGGTCTGATCTGCAACTACAGGAAACGTTTGGTTGAGGTTATTGCTGCCAAAGGAGGGTCAACCAGTTATTAAGTCCAAAGGTTCACATACTTTTTCCTCCCTGCACTGTGAATGTTTACATGTTATGTGTAATTAAACCATGGCAACATCTAATGTTTGTGTAGTATTATGTTCAGCAGACTGTGTTCTTCTATTGTTGTGACATAGATGATGTTCAGAGCACATTTTATGCCCAATTCATGCAAAACTCCACGTAATCTCAAGGGGTTCACATACTTTTTCTTGCAACTGTATATATATATATACAGTGGGGCAAAAAAGTATTTAGTCAGCCACCAATTGTGCAAGTTCTCCCACTTAAAAAGATGAGAGAGGCCTGTAATTGGCATCATAGGTAGACCTCAACTATGAGAGACAAAATGAGAAAAAAAATCCAGACAATCACATTGGCTGATTTGGAAAGAATTTATTTGCAAATTATGGTGGAAAATAAGTATTTGGTCACCTACAAACAAGCAAGATTTCTGGCTCTCACAGACCTGTACCTTCTTCTTTAAGAGGCTCCTCTGTCCTGCACTCATTACCTGTATCAATGGCACCTGTGTGAACTTGTTATCAGTATAAAAGACACCTGTCCACAACCTCAAACAGTCACACTCCAAACTCCACTATGGTGAAGACCAAAGAGCTGTCGAAGGACACCAGAAACAAAATTGTAGACCTGCACCAGGCTGGAAAGACTGAATCTGCAATAGGCAAGCAGCTTGTTGTGAACAAATCAACTGTGGGAGCAATAATTCAAAAATGGAAGACATACAAGACCACTGATAATCTCCCTCGATCTGGGGCTCCACGCAAGATCTCACCCCGTGAGGTCAAAATGATCACAAGAACAGTGAGAAAAAATCCCAGGACCACACGGGGGGACCTAGTGAATGACCTGCAGAGAGCTGGGACCAACATAACAAAGGCTGCCATCAGTAACACACTACGCCGCCAGGGACTCAGATCCTGCAGTGCCAGACGTGTCCCCCTGCTTAAGCCAGTACATGTCCGGGCCCGTCTGAAGTTTGCTAGAGCATTTGGATGATCCAGAAGAGGATTGGGAGAATGTCATATGGTCAGATGAAACCAAAATAGAACTGTTTGGTAGAAACACAACTGGTCGTGTTTGGAAGTGAGAGAATGCTGAGTTGCATCCAAAGAACACCATACCTACTGTGAAGCATGGGGGTGGCAACATCATGCTTTGGGACTGTTTCTCCGCAAAGGGACCAGGACGACTGATCCATGTACAGGACAGAATGAATGGGGCCATGTATCGTGAGATTTTGAGTGCAAACCTCCTTCTATTAGCAAGGGCATTGAAGATGAAACGTGGCTGGATCTTCCAACATGACAATGATCCCAAACATACCACCCGGGCAACGAAGGAGTGGCTTCGTAAGAAGCATTTCAAGGTCCTGGAGTGGCCTAGCCAGTCTCCAGATCTCAACCCCATAGAAAACCTTTGGAGGGAGTTAAAAGTCCGTGTTGCCCAGCGACAGCCCCAAAACATCACTGCTCTAGAGGAGATCTGCATGGAGGAATGGGCCAACATACCAGCAACAGTGTGTGCCAACCTTTTGAAGACTTACAGGAAACGTTTGACCTCTGTCATTGCCAACAAAGGATATATAACAAAGTATTGAGATGAACTTTTGATATTGACCAAATACTTATTTTCCACCATAATTTGCAAATAAATTCTTTCCAAATCAGCCAATGTGATTGTCTGGATTTGTTTTCTCATTTTGTCTCTCATAGTTGAGGTCTATCTATGATGCCAATTACAGGCCTCTCTCATCTTTTTAAGTGGGAGAACTTGCACAATAGGTGGCTGACTAAATACTTACTTTTTTGCCCCACTGTATATATATATATATATATATATATATATATATATATTTATTGAAATATAATGAATATGGCCACAATTGTAGCATTTCAAATATATGTCAATATATTTGGGAAGAATATTTTTCAAATATATTTCAAATATATTTTTCTTCCATATGGGTAATGTGACCCACCAGCACCCACTCAGAACTTGAATATTGCTTTTTGGTGGATCCAGACTTCAAAATACAACTAAAACATTGCAGCTCAAAGAGGCATTCTGCAACAGAGGCAGTGCTGCCAATCTAGAAATCAGTGGGCAGGACCAGGAGTGTCCAGGTGCTGATTGACAAGCTACATACTTGTGAAGTAACAGTGACAATGTTGATAGCCACATCCCTTGTAACATTTATTTTCATTCCACTGTAGTGCAATAACCACAGCCCACATGAAAGTGGCAACGCTGGTCTGAATTCAGGAGCAGTACAGCATCGTTGCCACACCATCACAGGAAGCTGCATTAGGTGGACGTCACGGACAGGATCAACAGGTAATTGTGGGACTTTACAAGAGACTAACAGAAAACTGTAATGCTCCTATAAGTGCTGCAGTACATATTTTTGTTAAATGGGAGAACATGGTTCGACTTTTTACTGTTTTGACTAGAGAACAGCTAATAATGGATCTTTCAGTACCGCATGGCAGGTTTCCCCTAAATTAAGTCTGGTTTTATGGAAGCACTCAAACATGTTTTCTTCTTTTTGTCTAATTCCTTTTCAAGTTCCTCTTCCGTATTACCATCTACGTTCAGAAAACGCTCCAGGACACAAAACAGAATGAGCAGTCTGCTCTTTGCTGCTGACAACAGACAAACTCAGCAACCTAAGCATATGCCGACAAACTAATGACACATTTCACACATTAGATAGAACTGCCCACAAAAAAAATAATAGGATTTCAATTACTCAAATTGAGCTACTGGAAAGCTGTATTTTTCCTTCTAGCATAAAATGAGTTAATACTTTATCACAATAAAGCTGGCACCTCTATGTAGAATCAGTCTCAAAGCAATCAGTAAGAACCTAGTGGTCCAAAACCTGTAAAGAGTTGGTGAATGCTGTGGGATGCTATAAAGACTTTGGAAAAAAGGTAAAAATTAAAACAAATTAAAAACGGGGGAAGGCTTAGAAGCCCTGTCTGATTTTCACTGCCATTTTGGACTCCATTATAGAGATTTCCCCTCACTTACTGTCACAGTGACAACAAATTCATCAGACAGGAATTTGGGAAAAATCTGCAACGGGGCTCAGACAGAAATTAAAAAAAAAAAAAATCGACAGGGGTTCAAGACCTGCCCTGTCCTGCTCTGCTAAAGAAAAAAATTTGAGAAGCAAAAACAAAAAAGAAGCGCACCAACTTTGTGCATTACCTCAGTAGACCAAATATTTATTGAATACAAACATATACTCACAAACAATGAAGTATTTCAAGCATGTCAGTTATCAAAGGAACTATGGAATGGTAAGACCTGCGCGAGTCCCATCATAGGAGTGGACACTCAGGGAACAGCTGACACGTTTCGAAGGATGTTTCTTCTTCATCAGAGCTCTGAAAGTGAGGGGAAATTTACCTAGACTGTACTCACGCAGTTGTGGTCTGGTAACACATAGCAACTCAAAGTCTAGTGCAGTGTTTCTCAACCTTTTTTCAGTCAAGGCACCCTTTAAAATGATGAACAGTTCCGACGCACCCTTTAAAATTATGGACAGTCCCGAGGCACCCTTTAAAATTATGGACAGTCCCGAGGCACCCTTTAAAATTATGGACAGTCTGGAGGCACACTATTCTAAAATGGGGTGCCTCCATACTGTCCATAATTTTAAAAGGGCACCTCATTCTAAAATGTGAAAGTATTCTAATAGTTTTATATAATGCAGCAACATCCACACATGTAGGACACCCGACATTAGAGGTAATTTATTCTTTCAAAGCAAATAAACTTGTGCACACTAAGTAGTATTCCTTTGTTTCTCTTCTCCCTTAGTTTTTCTCCATCACTGAGCTAATGTGACCCCAGCACTGATAGAGAGGGGCGAGGAGGGTCAAACTAGGATGCTGTGCTGGCAGTTGACATCCTCCTTATCAACTGATGATGTCATTGGTTGTCAGGACGCCGACAGCTAGAAGGTCGTAATGGGGCACAATGAAAACCTGTGGCTTTGTGTAACTAAAAGGCAGGCTTGTCCCACCTGCTGGTTTGTATATAAGTTTTGAGCAATTTTTAGGCATTTTGCCAAGGCACCCCTGAAGAAACCTCAAGGCACCCCAGGATGCCTGGGCACCCTGGTTGAGAAAGGCTGGATTAGTGTATTAAGGTGCCATTCACAACACAGCACAATGCATGGTAATTACTACTTTGTGTTGGGGTGCACTGTATTGCTAAGAATAGTGCATGCACTTTTTGGGGGGAATTTTGAAATTGGATTAGGAAGTCATTTCGAATGGATGTGCTGCTGCATCGTAAGTCAACACATGCCAAAGATGTAAATGGGCTCAACTTGAGCCCCAAACAACAGTACAAACTTAACAAAGGTTCAAATCCTCCCTCAGTTTATCCAAAACTAACTGTAGCATTTACCCCCAAAGGAGGTCTTCCTAGCATTCCTATTGGTGCACTGACTTACTGCTGCCTCAAAACACTTACCAGCCAATGTGGGCATTCCCGTGATGGACTGAACAGGGGAAGACGTCAATTGGTGCATGCAAAGATCCTCATAACGCTTCACACCAGAAGCAGAAGGAACCATCCTGGGGACTGGCCAACTGAAGCACACCATAGGCAGAACAGTAATGGTCTTCTGTTGTCCTCTGTTTGTGGTGTGTTATGGTTGTTGTCCAGTCCTTGGGATGGTCCCTTTCTGCTTAAGGTGTGAACGTTCCTGAGGATCTTTGCATGCACCAATTGACGTCTTCCCCTGTCCAGTCCATCATTAGAATGCACATATAGGCTGGCTTTTAGTAGATCTCTGAAGGCTGAATAACTCAATCTTCCTCATCACTGATGTCCAATAAATCGGCTCTGAGAAAGAGCGAGATGCAAAACGCGTTGGACACTTGGGTTTATGTCATTTTATGTTTATTGATATATGGAAAAACTTATGTTTTAACCTCTACTCATGTCTGGGCAAACACAGTGGTTCGAATGAGAACGTAATCTTTTTTTTTTCAGCCTGAATACTTTTTCATGGGATGTTTTCATGCTAGTAATAATAATGTTATGTAAATTATAATAATTTTGTTGTGTGTAATTTGTGGTGCTGCTAAAATCCTATACAACTGCTTTCCCTCCTATATTGAAAAATTTAATTTAGACTAGTGGCACTCCAACTTTGGCAATGACCACTACATAAAATATGAAATGTTGGCTGGACATACACTTTAATCCCTTTTTTTGCAGGTGGTCTTTTTGTATAGAGACTGATTTTAGTTTACTTTGACTACAAAGTCAAAAATAACTGCAATTGAAGCAATGTCATTCTTCATGCACTGGGAGCAGGCAGGCAGAGGTCTGTGGCAGCTTAGAGTTAATGCCCATGCCAGCATTTGTGCAAGGCTCTAATAAAAGTATTGTAGCCTTAGAATATGCGGTCACATTCTAGCAGATAAAACAACAGCAAGTAAGCAGTAAAACAAAGGCACAGAAAAAGGAGATTTTTCAGGTTAAGCACTACCCATCATAACTGTTTGAAAACAGATTTTTTTTTCCTTTATCGTCTGGTTTTCTTTTTAAATGTGTCCTTATCTTTGTGAATTACTTCATATATGTTTTTCCCTTTCTCATTTCTGCGCTTTTGTTTTGTCCTTAAATTGCTCTCATAAATATATATCTGTGTGGCTCCTCGTCTTTGTTTGATCCCTTACCTTCCATCTAACTGCCTTTGCTTATCTAAAAATGCAAATTTGGTCATCAGCGACCAGCAAGATGGGTAAAAAGAGTTTTTAGCAAAGCTTTTGTCATGCATGACTTGAAATGCCCATAATATATCTTGTGAAGTTGTTCGCCTCTCTGGTCACCATCTGTTCCATAAATCTCCTGAAATATCTGACAATTTGTTCTACTTGTAAAAACTACAGCAGTCTTTTGCAATGCAGAATTATGTTCATTTGACTTGCAGCTACAAATCATAGCATCTCTTCTTCCGCAATCAATATCTTCCACTGTATGCCCCCCATCTTCACTATTAGCATAGCTGTCTACATTTAAAGAGCAAACATCATCACTTCAGATGTCAAAGCAAATGAATAACTGTTTTAAATAATGTATCAGAGTGCCTTACTATGAATACTATGTATACCACCAACCATTGCTAGAGTAGGATAGAAGGAGCACCCAGTGTCCAGAAAACTTCAACTTTGATGTATGGTTCATAAGATGTTTAGTAAAAGTGTAAATATGTACAGTACATCAAGCCAGCACATTTCAGGAATGGACTCCGCCTTCTTCAGGGTTAACAACTAAGCACAAACAATATAC